TTTACAGCATCCACCCCCTTTTTTTAACTTTTTCAGAAAATCTAAACTGAGGTATACTTTCATAATTATTAATATGTCAAATCAATACCCACTGTATCCCTGTGTAACACAAGTGTACACACTTAAAAAGATTCAGGTTCTTCAAGGGTTCTTTAGTCAACACAATGGTTCTATATAGAATCATGAACACTTAAAAACCCATTGCGTGATTAAAGGGTTCTTTGCATGGTGAAAGCGTTCTTTAGAGTGATGGAGAATGTGTTTTACATGGTTCTATATAGAACCTTTTTGAAAAGGGTTCTATGTAGCACCTATTGTTATAGGCTTGACATTGTCACAATAGAAGAACGCTTTTTGGTGCTGTATAGAGCCCTTCTCAAAAATGTTCTAAACAGAACAAAGAACTTCATCTAATCATGCAAAAAGTTCTTTGAGTGCTCATGGTTCATATAAAACAATCCCCTTTAATACAGAACCCTTGAAGAACCATCTTTTTTGAGAATGTGCAACAAAAAAGGACAAAGAAGTAAATGACCTTTAGAAATACATTTGTATCTTTTAAAAACAAGATGTTTTGTCGACCTTTAGTCAGTCCAGTTTGATCTCAAAAGATGTGATATGTGGCACTAAACTGGGACGAACATATGCTTCAATTCCTGACACCATACAGAAACTTCATAACTCTGAAATCTGATTAGTGTTTAGTCTCAGTGACGACTTCAGTTAGGAGTGAATTTAGGACAGTAGCTTTTACAGAATAACAGTTCCTAACTTCATAATCTTATCATTAACTCCAGATAAGAAAACAGTATTACACAAACAACCTAACTAGACTAAACCTAAATACTGTCCTAACTTTAGGATAAACCCCAACAGTCGCCTGACTTATGTTTAAACATCTGTAGCAGCAGTGGTGTGTATAATGAGGAGACAGAGCTGAACGTGTGTCTGTTTATTAGAAGGAACAATGTTAATGCGCTTGGCTAAACCATTTGGGAAATGGAGACTGAAACTGCAGTGTGGTGATGCCCTGTTAAACAGCAGGGGGCGCTCTCATGGGATTCTTACCTTCCAATTTACTGTACTTTAGTTTTGTTTTAACCTTGAAAGATAGCTGTTTGTCTAACTAACTTTTAACATTATTTTTAACATTAACATTATGTGTTTACATTTCAGCTGTGCACATATGGTCGGTTGCTAGCTATTTTAAAGTCAATAATCAGTTGTTATGCAGACATAACAACTGATTATTGACTTTAAAATAGCTTCTGTAGGATTATATAAGATCTTAATACAGGACTAAAGATAGGAGGTTTTTGTAATACAGCCTCAGACGCATAAATACTGGGCTGGCAATCGCACTGGGGCCTGTAATATAATCTTTACTGAGGCCTTCATATAGACCAGATCAGGCCCATGACACAATCCTATTCGCTCCACAAAGGTATTTTAATTTTCTATTAATATTAGTAGTTCCACAATGCGCTGCACTACAGTACCCAGCATGCACTGCAATATAATGTGTGACTCTCCTTCTCCAACAATAGTCCATGTGACAGCAGTTACACCTCAATTCTACACAATTCCACACCAGTCATATCACCAAATGCACCAGCTTCATTCACACCTATTGTCAGCTCAGCAGATCAGAAACTGAGCCCAAGTCTTAATGAATTTGCAGCAAAGAAAGGATGCCAGGTGTCTAGTTCAAGCAAATAGGGGTCCTGAGGACATTTAAATTTGGAATATTTCAGGTATTCAGCTATTACATGTGTCTGTATTTTACTGGTAAAGGTTTTTGCATATTTTAAATAAACAGTGGCCAGTTCTGGTTACAGCACAACATTAATTAAAAATCAAATAAAAACATAGATGTTCTTTGGCCCATAAATTTGTTGAGATTTTTTAAAATAGCCCTTTTGGTAGTTGAGTTTGACACCCCTGATATGGACACTAACACAACTGTACAGCCATGACTCAAAAATAGATCCAGTTTCTTACAGACATACAGTTTGATTTTCTACATGAAAATTAGTGAACATACAGAGAACATAAATATGACATATGACATCATAGTGCTCAATTTTTATTTATTTGCTGAATTTAACTTTTTTTTTGGGGGGGGGGGGATCTCAAAGCAACTTTTGCACAGGCCTAATTTTATTTATTTGTCTTTCCAATATGTTAATTTCAGCAAGTAAACAGTAATTGTGCGTTAAAACGTGCTGAAGTGTGTCTCTGTAGAGGATGCGTTCACTAATTTTCACTTAGAAAATCAACAACAACGTGGAATTTCAGGTTTTTTGCTCTGAGGCCCATTGGATCCTGGTTACTATCATAACTGTCCAAAAGAAAACAAGTATCTTCAAAATGGCAACTTTACATGAGAAGACAAAAACATTCTTCACTTTTAATGGAAGTGAATGAAGAGATTTTATTCCAAGCAATTTTGGAGCATTTCTATTGGTCCATTCATCATGAATTTTTTACACAACATAAAGGGCAGCTGCTGAGCTCAAATGGAAACTTGTTTTTCTTTGGACAGCAATTATTTATTGGTTGATTTTACAGCAAAAATTATAGTGACCTAAAAATCATTCTGGAATTCCATTTTACGATTTGGACACTAAGAGAACATGGACTGACGTTCTCAACAAGGCCTTAAAACGCAACTAGGAATCCATTTGTTGGATTTTCTAAGAGGAAATTATCAACATCTTTCAGATCATTTCTAGACCTATACAAAAAGGACTGTGCTGTCTAGACTACACACCTGGGCAAAAATGGGTCCAGCCCAAAATGGAAAAACATTAAACTTTTAATGATCTTAACAACAAATCATTAAACAAACAGAAGCAGCATGTTAACATACAGTTTTTCACTTTGATTCAATTAAATGGTGAAGTTTTGTGTGTAAATTTGTCTTTTACAGAAAGAAGAGTCAATATTGATCCACTCAGCATTGATGGCTTCAAACAGCTGAAAAACATTGCTGAGCTAGTTTGTGTTTAATGTGAGACCAAATATTCTTAAGAGGGTTTAAATCTGACCAGTGACACCAAAACCATCAGTAGAAACCATCATATTTTGGCCCATTTTTTGCCCATGAGTGTAGAGTACTAGAGTACTAGAGTGCACAGAAAAAGTGTGCATGCATCATATGCAGCCATAATGTCAAACATTATGTAACAGTATTGTCATAACAATTACCGGGAACTGCAACTTCACACTGTTATATCACAAAACATAATCTCTCATTACAGTTTATGATAGCATATGAAATCTGCAGCACTTTACTTGAAGGGTGTCTACATAACACATTATTAACAACTTACATAAACACTGCGTATCATGTTCATGAATGTTTAAACCAACAATTATATAGTATATATTTTATACATTACATTGATATGGACTCCTATTGTCATTTTACTGAGATACATTTTTTTCAAAATAAAAGTCCTAATTTTGGTGTCAAGGCAGGGGTAAAAGGTTATTTTTATTTTGGCCGTCCACAAATGAGGTGTTTCACTGACATAATACATACATACATACATCATCTAAACCGCTTATCCTTATGGGTCGCGGTGGGGTGCTGGAGCCTATCCCAGCTGTCATTGGGCGGAAGGCAGGATACACCCTGGACGGGTCGCCAGTCCATCGCAGGGCAGACAGACAGACATACATATACAACCACACACACATTCACACCTAGGGGCAATTCAGCATGTCCAATCAGCCTGACTGCATGTTTTTGGACTGTGGGAGGAAACCGGAGTACCCGGAAGAAACCCACGCAGACACGGGGAGAACAGGCAAACTCCACACAGAAATGACCCAGGTCGCCCGGCTGGGAATCGAACCCAGGCCATTCTTGCTGTGAGGCGACAGCGCTACCCACTTATTATTATTATTATTATTATTATTATTATTATTAAGTCCAGAACAGACGAACCAATCAAATACCAACAAACTACAAACATTCTCTCTCATTCTCATTGTTCTAGATTGTTCTCTCTCGGGTTCTTTTTGACTGTCAGTTCTATTTCTGGGCATTTTAAACACAACTGATGAAAGTCGAACTACAGCGTTTATTGTAGAGCATTTGTTCGGATTGCTCTGGCCGCGAATACTAAACACTATTATTATTATTAACAACAACAACAACAACAATAATAATAATAATAATAATAATAATAATAATAATAATAATAGTAATAGTGAATCAGAGGAATCAGAGGAATGAAATCACAGCCTACCTTTAGCAGCTCATCTTCATTACTGACATAATATAGTTTTTAAAAAAAATTTAAAATGAGAACTTTTATTTTGAAAAAGGTCTGTCGGTAAAATGACACAGTAGTCCATACTAGTTTCATGTAAAACATGTATGCTGTATGGATGTTGATTTAAACATACATGAACATGTTATGAAGTGTTTATGAAAGATGTTATGAATGTGTCATGTAGACACCCTTCCTGTAAAGTGTTACCAAATCAGCCATGACGTGTTTATGGCAGGGTTGTGTCAGTGTTATATATCAGGATTCAAGCAGCAATCTCAACCTTTCTGAGAAACTGTATGAGAAAGAGACTGTGTAACGTGGCCTCTGTACTGAGCATAGACCACAATCAATAAACACCAAACTTTGCACTGTTATGCTAATTGAGAATGCTTTTACTTCTGAAGGGGCAGCGTATTTATATATAGTTCTTCTATCTTAAAGCTACTGTGATGAGCCTCATTTACTAAAGTTGTCCTTCCATTTCTTTGCATTACATTCAATTTTGAAAAAAAAACATCTTGGCCAACTCTGCATTGTTTATAACTCGGAGTTACTGGGTGTACAATATTCAGTCATTGGCTTCTCGATGGTGCCACAAACAAAAATTAATCCCTGTAACTAAACCTATGACACATAGACACTCCTCAAAACCTCTGTGTACTTCCCATCAGCTCGGAGATGAATACAAATCCACTCTTATTCCAGAAAAGATGTGACGTCTTCTTTATACAAGAACACACAGGTTTTCACTTTCTGAGCATCTTCTTTTGGTAAAGCTATGACGTTAAATCAGGCCTGCAGATGCTTGCCAGCTTGTTGAATCGCTGATCAAGGTTTGTGAGAACGTCTGGATTGAAGTCATTCTCAGGGAGGGAGATGGCATCCAGCTGAGGGTCAATCATGGGTTCTCCTTCATATGCATAGCAATAGGGCTCATAGTCACCAAGCTCTTCTCCTGGGACCTGGAGCTGGAAAAGGTTCTGCAGAGGAGAAATTCCAGAAGACAGAGTGACCTCAGGCTAATTCGTTCACATTACTGGCTTTTTTCATCTGGAATCTTTGGCATAACTGCAGCTAATTCTTCACTCTTCCAGGTGAAGATAAAGTCACCAAGCACAAGTGTATGCAGCGTGTTGCCCAAGTGCTGTCATTTGCATTCGCATCCTTGCGTGAAGTACATTTCGATCCTTACTTTGCAAAGTGTTTGCTAAGGTGACATAAGCTAGTTAGGGCGCTAATGCTAGCAGTATTAGTATTCATGCAGGTCTCCAAAGAATGAATGCGTTTGCTCTTGTTTTTACACTGTACAAAGAAACATATAAGCTTTGTTTGGTTTCCTACGGTTTCCTATAAGCCAGTAAGTTGGGCTTAATATAACTACCAAGCAAGCTAGCTAATTTATAACCCGATTAGATGCTTTAGAGTGGCATAAAATGACCAAAAAGACAAAAAAATTGTCAATTCTGGCTGTTCTGGAGATTCCAGCTGTATCTCAAGCAGGTGGCAACTAGAATTAGAATCATAAGTTCTACTTGGTTCCTGTTTGGGTCCATGTTTTTGAACATGCAGAGGAAAAATGCCTTTATTAGGTTGTAATGTTTGAAGTTTTTACAGGCAAAAATGCTCTTAATGCCTAGACAAATGGTTTCTTTGTTGGTCTAAAACTTTTTCACAGTACTGTGTCTGACAAACTGCAGTAAGATTTCATGATTGCAAATTTGAAAATGATGATTTGAATAATAAAACTTCAGTGCTGTAAAAGATGAGGCTTGGGTAGGTTTTTAATGGTTGCAGATTCTTTTCCGAGTTTCATTTATGACTTCAGAGAAATACATCAATCATGCTGTCAAATCAAAGCTGATGATAAATGAGAGTAGAACAGGAGTACCTGATTAATCTGAGTGAGCAGGTTCTGTCTGAGGTGAAAGTCATCTACACTGTAAATAGAATAGTTTCTCTTCACTTGGCTCTGCATTGGAAAGACGAAGACATTCAGCACAGATTTCAAAACAATTTTAAAATGTCTGATGAACCCAAAAAGAACAGCATTGTGACCATACCATCGATGAGTGGTAACTTCTATATGAGCGTCTTGTGGAGCTCTGAAATTCAGACAGAAAAGAAACAGTCAGTCTGTATAAAAAAGCGTTTAAGGTTATCAGATAGTTTGTCAGTTGTCAACTAAAAAGTATTTACCCGTCGCAGAGATCTCCTCAACAACTGTTCTTTTTGAAAAGCACTGTCATAGTAAGCCTGCTGGTGCTTAAGTGAAATTAATAAAATGATAATTAGTTCATATTTACAAGCATATCACTGCGGTCAGAACAAAATGAAACAATTTTTTTTTTGTTTTGTTTTTCAGTTTTTTGACATTATTTGAAAATGCCTGTTGTTCTTTACATTGTGTGTAAATTTCATGATGAATGGACTAAAATAAACTCTGTTCCATTGACTTATATTAAAAGTTTTTTCCTCCTTTCCTATATATGTCCATCATGAAATTTTGGCACATTTTAAAAGTCAGCTAGAATTTTCTAATTCTGTAAAAAAGTACAAAATGGCATAAATGTAGATACTAGATTTCACTCCAATAGCAGCGAGATGCATCTTCAAAACTTAACTTTAAAGAAGAAAGAGAATTTTTTTTCCACAACATTTTGGACAATTTATATTGGTCTATTTATCATAAAGGTTTCACACAATGTAAAGAGCAGCTGGTTATGTTATACAAGCCACGATGTATTAGATAGTAAGTGGTGTTTTCATACATTCTGTTGTATGACTTCATGCTTTGGAATTCCATTGTATGTTGATATCAAAGTGGGCTTTGCCTTCACGGTCTGGGTGGAGTCCACTTGGGTGATTTTGGCAGGAACCTTTATGAAGAGATAATAAGCAAAGAATATTATTGTTTAAGACTAATATACTATGGTAACCAGAAAGACCAAGAAGATAACTGGACGGTTAATTTGGCCCAGTTTCTAAAGTAGCATCATAAAAGTTGAATTGATTGTGATTACTACACTTCTCTTTTATTCTTCTGGGTGTACCAATATTTTAATGTTTTAATAATGTCATCTGTATGGTGTGGGCAACAGAGTGTTTTATTACCTTGCAGTCTGTGCCAAGAGTCTCAATATTGGACTCAAGGAGACGCCAGCCAGGTTCGTCATCAGTCATGATCATTTTTTTCTCGTGCTTGCAGGAGATCATAAAGGCCATGAGAAGAATAGCTGTCCAAAAAGGAAATACATTCGAAAATACATCAGGTACACCAATTTATAGGCAGGTTACATCTTGAAACTGAAGACAAAATGTAACGTTAACCAGCCATTAAATTATAACCTGCTCACTGTAGTGACTAAAACTCTGTCAATAAAGAGTCAAAAGCTCAACCGTACCTAGAAGAAGAAGCAACGCGAAAACCATGATCCCGATGGCAGCGCTGCCCACCTGGGCACCTGAAGATCTGCGTAGATGGCAGTTTGGTGTGCTGGTGCAATCACACACAGTGACGGAGAGGTTCTGTGTCTGGGAAAGGCCCTGGGTGTCAGATACTTTGATCTGAAGCTCGTGAACGCCTGAATGGACAGTGCTTTCTTTCACCAGGTTCACAGTTGTCCCTACAGAGAGAAGAGCATGTCCTTTGAAAAACATGCAGTAATATTTATAAACAAAACTATGTGTTTTCATGACAACATAATGAAAAAAAATGTTGCACATCTCTTCAGTAGTCTCTACTATCTGAAAAAGATTTTTATTTGTGAAGCTATTTTGAACTGATATTTCTTCATGTATTGCATGTAGAAATGAATAATTAATAGAAATACAGAAAAACCTGCTGGGGCAAATTTTAAAAATACAAAGCTTGTTCAAAAAGCACAATTTTAAAGGTTTGCATGGCTGCAAGAATGATTCTTTCATGGAAATCCACCTGGTCTGATCAAGCTGTAGTGTTAATTTTATGATTAAGTCTGTAAAATCATATTAATATGTATCTTTAAAAGCACAACAGGGACTACATTCTCTGTAAGGCAGCCGTAAACCAAATGGTGAATAAAACACTGAGTCATATTTAGAGATCTTTGTTTACCACGGTGGGGTCAATACTCCATTTCCCCTTAACATCCCCCAGGAGCTCGTAGGTGAAGGGGCTGCTGTATGGAGGCAGGTCCAGATCCACAGCGGTGATGTTAGCCGTGGTGGCCTCATCAGATAAACACATACCCAGTGTGTTCACCTCAATTATGGGCAGATTATCATTCAGATCTCCCACCTGGATGATCAGGGTTCCTGTCCCCGTCATAGGAGGTGCACCTGGAGGTTGGAGAAACATGAGTAACATTAGAGTATGATAAAACAGTGAAAAAGTGATTTGGCTGGTAAATGTTCATGCAGAAGGACCATAAGAAGAGGCTCACAGGAGGGGCACACCCTCAGTAAAAAAAGACACTCTTATTTATTTTGTTGTTCGTTAGTTTGAAATGTGGTGGTTTTAGTTAGTTTAGTTAATTGTCTATCATACAGTGGAATGTTATGGCTGTAGGTGACCATGTCAGCTATTTTGGGTGTTAGGCAAGTGATTTTCTACTGTGTTCAAATTAAAAGAACATTTCTGAGCAGAAATTATGGCCTCTCCTGACTTTTCTCCTGCAAAGTGCTACAGTATTACGGAAGCATTTGAGTAGCAAAATGAAAATGAAAATGTAACGTGTAAAACGTGCTTGTCATTTATTTCCCATTCATATATGCAATGTTGGGCTTAAAATGAAAATTCTAATTCAGTAATGCCATTTTGCACATTAGCATTGACATTTCATTTACAGAAAGATGTAGCAGCTTTACGAGTAGAAACTGACCTCATGTTTGATTAAACACCTCCTTATCAGGTCATGTATAAAGACATAGTAAGCAGCCCAAGTGGATATTTCTTTACACATTGCATTTTCAGACTGTAGAAACTACACACACTGCAGATTCATACTGGATTAAAGTTGCTGCACAATTATTACTGTCAGACCATTAAAAACTACACACGCAGAAGATTCATACTGGATTAAATTACTCCAGAATTATTACCATCAGACTGTAGAAACTACACACTGTAGATTCATACTGGATTAAAATCACTATACAATCATTACTGTAAGACTGTAAAAATTACACACACTGCAAATTCATACCGGATTAAAATCGCTCCACAATTGTTACTGTCAGACTGTAGAAACTACACACACTGCAGATTCATACTGGATTAAAATCAGTCCACAATTATTACTGTCAGACTGTAAAAACTACACACATACTGGATTAAAATAATAGGACTTTTTGTTCTCCAGTGTTCATAAGAGTTTTTTCATGAATACAGATATAATCAGTGCTGTTTCTTACCATTATCCACAACATAGAGGATCACACTGTAGGAACTGTCCTTCAACAAGGGTGATTCTCTGTCCAGAACCTTTGCTGTGAACACTTCACCAGTTTCTGGATCTACAGTTATCCAGTTATCTACATCTTCTCCTTTGCTAAAACTGGGGGCAGGAAAGAGAGAGAAATAGAGAGAGTTTTCAGGTTAAAGTCCTTTCCAGCCCAATTAGCCTTTCAACAAGTGAAAGCTAAAGGCTAAAGTCAGCTACTGTCCCTCAGCGTTGAGAGAAACGTAGTTCTACTCACCGAAACTTGCTGGCGAAGGTTTTATCAGGGTCTTTGGCTTCAAGAGTGCACAAGTAGGTTCTTGGTTCTGTGTTCTCCATGATCCCCACCTTTCTAACAGGTGGTACAAACTCTGGAGGGTCGTTTACGTCCTCCACAGCAATGGTGACAGGATACAACTTAGGGAAGTCTGGTAAACTTTTGCCAGGCTCTTCATTGAAGGTCTTTACATCCCATAATCTCTTAGCAGGACGTCCGGTGATCTCACAGGAGAAATATGGCACCTCATTTGCCACACTGATTGACACATTTCTTGAAGTTTGCTCCTCGTAATCCATTGCCTGTGTATTTAAAGAAGAATAAAAGAACAAGAGGTTCATTAAATCAGTGTGAACTGCATTTTGTCACTGTCGGAACAAAACCTTGTATCTCCAAAACGGTTTACAAGAGAAGGAAAAGCATTCTTATCTTGTAGTGGAGGCCAATGTAATAAGAATTCTTCTTAAAAAAGTTATTTTAAAACATTTCTGTTGTTCCATGTTTATTATGAGATTTTAAAACATAACTGGAGTTTTCAAATTATGCAAAAAAAGTAAAAAAGAAAACTAAAATGTAGATGTTTTTAAAATGTTTTTAAAAATTAGCTACTAGGATTAAAATTACTTTTTAGCATTTGATTTGTTTTTCCTATATTCTGAATTGGCTCGGCTACATTGTAAATGAGGGTCTCCCTCAATGTACTCAGAGTTTAAATAAAGGTTGATTGATTGATTGATTGAATTTAATTGCTAATCTGACACCTAATTTAGTACAGCACACTGTAAAAAAAGATGGATCTTCAAAAGATCTTCAGTAAAGGCACAAATTCTATACAGAACCACGAGCATTCGAAGAACTATTTGCATGTTTAAATGGGTCTCTGCATGGTGAAAAGGTTCTCCAGATTGATGGAGAATGTGTTGTATATGGTTCTGTATAGCACCAAAAAGGGTTCTTCTATTGCTACAAGCTTGACATTGTCACAATAGCTCCTACCAACCCCTTTTTGGTGTTACGTAAGACGATTTTCAAAAAAAGAATTCTCCATCAATATGAAGAATCATTTTACCATGCAAAGAACCATTTTTTGTAGAATCATTCTCTTTACTAAAGAACCACTGAATAACCATTTAAAAGAGTGGAGCAGAGCTTTTATTCACCTAAGCTAAAATTTTCATTCAAAGTTTTTATTTGAATTGAAGAAAAATGCAATTTCCACCCATTTTTGATGTCCTTAAGTTTTCTTCAATAACAATGATGAAATATGTCAATTTAAATATGAATATGTATGTGAGATTTAAAAAACTGAAAGCGAGCTGGATTTTCATCTTCATAGGTGAAGGTGCAGTTCTGCATTTATGAAAGTGTTACTGTGTTTAATTGTTGTGTGTTTATTGTGTCAGTTGTACAGGAATATTTGATATAGAAAGATATGAGATATTTGATATAGAATTGATATAAGAAAGCTGCAGTTCTCCATTTTATCTTAGCACAGCTGTCTATGTGGAGAGGAGTGATTTGTATTTCACAGGAGGGGGGTCTCACCGCTTCCTTTTGCTCCTTATTGCTCACTAGCAGCTTAACATTTCACACACAGAGAGAGAACAGTGTTCTAGTTCATCTGATAACAGATTTATGGGGACAAATATTTTATTTGGTTATGTTAACTAATAATATCTGAGTCAATTTCCATTCCAGCAATGGAATAGCCTGCAGAAAGAGGTTACATAAGCTCCTACGTCTATCACTAATTATCCTCATTTCAGAGATCACAATCCTCTATTTGAAATCACTTGCGAAACACTTGCCATAATGTCCACAGCTGTATGACTCAAGTACATGAGCTAAGTGTGAACATAATGCCATCTACAAATTGGACAAGATAAGACATGATATTAAGGTGCAGATTTGTTTAGCAAGAGCTGAATGTGTTAAAAGAACAATGAAATACCTTTATAACTGTTAGGACTCCTTCATTAGTCTTGGGGTCCGTCTCTATTTTGAAATATTTTTCCTTATCTCCATGAATTGTGTATTTTGCTTTCCAGGCTTGTGAACCTGGACTGTCTTTATCAGCTACTTGCAGGCGCAGGACTTCCACTCCAGTGTCTCGTTCCTTTATCCTACCAGGGCCCTAAAAAGAGATATATAAAATATAAATGTTAGTAAGACCTACAACAGCAGTCCTATGCTGTCAGTGAAACATGGAATAAACAGGACATCTTCACAAAACATCTCAGAACTGCTCTCAGAGTATATACAGTGCTGTGAATTTTTTTCTACTTTTGCATATTTGTCACAATTGAATGTTTCAGATAATCAAACTCCTTTTAATATTAGACAAAGATAACCCAAGTAAACACAAAATGCTGTTGTTAAATGATGATTTCATTTATTGAAGGAAAACCACCATAAGAACATCATACCAATAGTGACACATGGTGGTGGTAGTGTGATGGTCTGGGGCTGCTTTGCTTCTGCAGCACCTGGATGTCATAATTGATCGAACCATGAATTCTGCTTTCTATCAGAAAATCATCAAGGAGAGCCTGTCACTTTAAAATTAGTTTAATGATCTGAAACATTTAAGTGAGATTTAAGGAAGTGAGGGGAAAATACATGTTCACAGCACTGTATATTTGCATGCATGGATATTTAATTAGAAAGAAAGATCCAATACTACAAATAAAACCAACTGAAATGGAATTTCCTTGACCAGCAAAGCACCAAATGCCTACAAATAGATTAATGTGCACTGAAATGACTGGCAAAAACTGGTGCAAATTATTATAAAAGCATTTCAGATTTATTTGGATTACACTGCCTTATGTAAATATCAGAAAGAATATGATCTGGTGTAGTTTTAGCAACTGAATTGTATGGCTACAACAATCCAAGATCAAAAACAGCTCCCTATGTCCCTGATGAAGCACTGTTGATGTGTAAACTTGTACTCAACAGTCCACTGTCCAAAACAGTTTATAAATATTAGGAATGTTTTATGCCACCAACCATCTATCCATGCCAGGCTATCCCACCAAATTCAGCCCAAGATCTGGTTGAAAGATACAACAGATAGTTTCCCAAAACTCCGGGATAACATTAAAGAATTTAGAGGCAAGTCACACCTTGTATTTATTTTATTTTTTAAAATACATAAGTCAAAACATTCGAAATGTACTTCACCCTATGCAGAAAAAAGAATAAAGCACTTGTTCTTGAAAAAAGAATGTAAATGCACAACTGAGATTTGCCAGACAACACTGAGGTGAAGATCAAGAAACTAAAAGTGAGTAAATAAAGGTAAAGAGTGAACACTAAATAAATGAAAAATCTGATATTGTATTTAGTTGTTGAGGCTTCTTTGTAGTTTTCTGATAAAAATATTATATCACATTCAAAATGTTCTGCATGTTAATTTTAGAGTATTAGTTCTGCAGCATATTCGCTGGGTTATTCCATGAGTACTCTTATTATGAAGGCGGGGCTAGGTTGTGTTTTGTGAGATTAGGAAGTACAGAATTAATCTAATGCTGATGGCAGAGGAAGCAAGACATAGTGAGGCTTACAATAAATTTATAGACAAAACACTGTTTATGTACGGCATGGCCGACTACAGCCCTTTGGCCCTTGGGGTCCACAAATATGCCTGATTTGATGTTTCTATATCTGTGTCTGTATCTTTATGATAATCCAGCACAGAAATACAGTTTAAACATTCCTGATTCTGTAGAGTCGCACTTTCCATTCCATCTTATCATGAAATCGTTCATGACTCACATCTGGAGTTATGAGGCTACTGAAAGGAACTGAGATACACATCATCTGCCTCTCACTGTGTGGAACTGGTGGATTTGTGTGTTCATCTACATTCTTTGTAAAACTGACCAATGGACACACAGGAAATCACTAAGGACTGACCCATCACACCTGAAACCCTTCATTCTTCTTTCAGTCCACATCGGAGACTCATGTGAAATGGCGTGCAGAGTTTACAGCTGCTGAAGCTGCGGTTTTGGAAAGTAGTGATGAAGATAACGGAACATTTTGATATGAAATATATGAGTATCATGTTATATGAAGAGCCTTTAAAGAAGAGCTTAAGAAGATGTGCATAAATCGAGATCACAGAGGGTTATTAAAGCACGACGACTTGTGCATTAGCTGTTCTTTAATAGCAGTAAATTTTTTCTTTCTTTGGTGCTGAAAAATGAATAAGTTGTACTTAATAGCCATTTTTAATAAAGGTAGGTGGAACTTTTGCACAGAAATGTTTTACTAACTAACTGTAAACCATGATGGTAAATGTTTTATAGTTTATATCCTTTTGTACTTCAGGGCCTGACCAGCTTGCCATCATGGAGCCAATTGTGAATTACGCATTGTACCATAGAGTATTTGAGATCTGTCAAGAAGATGAAGGTGAACCATGAGTGGACCTTACACTGACTTAAAACACTTAAACAAATAGTAATAATAAAAAACAGGTAGCTCAGTAGTAGAATTTGAAGCACTCAGTAAAAAGCCTCATCACAGCTGCAGGAGACTGACATACAATCACAAGAAATGCCTTCAAGAAGTGATTTCTGGCTGAGGAGTCAATGCCAGCTATTGAAGCTGGGGCGTAGTACATTTTTTTTTTTTGCCTACATTTAAAGTGAGTCATTCTTTCAACCTAATGAGAAACCAGCTCACAACTACAGTGTTTGTTAAGAGTTGTTACACAGCATTAGGCCTCATTCATTAATATCCTCCTAAGTTTGTTCTTAAATGTGTTCTTGAGAAACATCCTAAGAAAAAGTTTATGTCAGATTCATTACGTGTTCTTGAACCGCAGAACTGTTCACACCTTTGTGCTCTTGAGTGTGTGTAGATTCTGTTCTTACCTAAGAACAAATCCCAAATAAGAAAACGCTGGTGAGTGTCAGAATCTTCAGGAAAACTGCGTGAGTCTTAAGAATGCTTAGTGAATGGGGCTTATTGAGTTTCCAGTTTAAAATGCTACGCTACCCTGTAGCACTATGTTGTTTATAGGTAACAGAAATTAGGAATGTTGGAAATGGAAATTATATTTGCTACATTAATTTGCTTAATTATATGAAAAACTCTCTCAGTCTATTCAGTTAAATCTGTCCTCACAGTGTGATCTTAAACATACATTCAAAAATCCCAAGAAATGAATCACTGGCTCTAGATGTAGGTATTGTGTTATAAACTGGGTCTGTTCTACAGTTTCTCATTAGGTTGAATGAATAACTGACTCTAAATGTAGGTATTGTGTTATAAACTGGGTCTGTTCTACAGTTTCTCATTAGGTTGAATGAATTACTGGCTCTAAGTGTAGGTATTGTGAACAAACTGAGCCTGTTCTATAGTTTCTCATTAGGTTGAATGAATCTTCGTGAAGATTCACACATCTGTAGGTATGAGGCTACGAAGAGGGGCTGAGACACACGTCATCTGCCTCTCATTATGTGGAACTGATGGATTTGTGATGAAGTGAGCATTTTAATATGAAACATATTAGGATCATGTTATATTAAGAGACTTTAAAGGAGAGTTTAAGAAGATATGCACAAATGGAAAAAATGCACTCAGACCCCAGAGGGTTTAATCATCATAAATACATTTTTTCAATGCTATTTGTTCAACTAGTATCATAAAAAAGGAAGAGAAAATATCCAGACATGCATGTATAACACATGAGGTGTGCTTACTTTTACTGTAAACCATTAACATTTCTACCTGGAGTTTCCACCTGGTAACTACAACTATTATGTACTTTGTACATAATAATCATATTTTAGTAGGTGGCTCATTATTGCGTATTTACATGTATTTCATATCTAAAATTTTTAGCACTTACTGTTTGACCCGTGATCTCCGGGGGGTAATTGTTCTTGTCGATAATGTTCACTGTCACGCTACTCGTGCTGGAGAGCTGCACTTTATCTCCCTGATCCTTGGCTTCCACCAGGATGGTATATTTCTTTGCTTTCTGGAAAAGAAATATAGAATTTTACCAAACATTACAACAAAAGAGATCTTGAGTATGAGGGAAGTTAACTAATAAGACACAGAGTCATTTACAGTCAGTGCATTTATTTACCTCATAGTCTAAACATCCCCTAAAAAATATCCTTCCTGTAGTGGACGGTCCAGTCGGCTCAAGGAAAAACTCCACATTGTCCGTTTTAGGAGTAACAGAAACAATATTGAAGGAGAAGGTTCCATTTGGAGATTGTGAGTCATCCCTATCTGTGGCCATCACTGTTGCTACTAACCGACCTGTTGAGATTTAGATGACCATCAAGACTGGCAATGTGATCTTAACATAGAGGCTATAAGATTAGCCACAATAAACACAATAAAATAAACAATAAAAGTGCAGAGCTGGATCACCTTGAGCTGTAGACTCGTTCACAGTAGCCTGCTGGTGAGGTGGACTAAAGACTGGGGCGTGGTCATTGATGTCCAAGATCTTGATTTCAACCCCGAGCCTTGTGTCCACTTTGTTATTGGAGGCGTTTGTTGCTTCAAATGTTAACTACAACAGGGAGAAAACAATGCAATAAATCATCATAGATTAAACAGGGATTTTACCATATCTCTACAATTTTAATGGCACTCGGTTGGGACGCTGCACAAAATGCAATGATATGCAAAGCATTAAAACGCTATATTTAAATGAAAACTAGAACAGTTCATTTTCAAAATTACAGCGGTTGATCTGAATTTCTGAATGCTTACAGAGTGTGGTTACACTTTTTTGGAACGTACTGCTAGCATCAAATTCAAAATGGGCATGTATTTTTCAAAAACAATAACATTTCTCAGTTTTAACACTTGTTATTTTGTCTTTGTATTATTTTCAATTAAATACAGTATTTAAATGATTTGCATATTATTGCATTCTGTTTTTTCTGTTTTTTTGAAAACTGGGTTTACCTAGGATCCACCATTTTAACCAGAATCAGCTCAGTTTTTTTATCTGACCTTTATACAAAAAGCCTGTTTAGCTTGTGTGGGTCATAAACTTACGATGTGCCTGAGTTATTTAAAAAGAAGATCTTTGCAGATAACCCACTTCACTGGCCGCCCTCACTTGCACAAAGAGTCAGTCTGTTGGAAATCTGTGCCTTGCTTAGTAAATCTGCCCGTTTTCAAAATTACATAGTTAGGAAAAAAAGTCGTTTTCAAGATCAACTAAGATAATTATAATCAGGTTCCCCAAGTTTGAAATCCTGTTTATAGATATATGTTTAGATACTTGAAAACAGAAACAAAGAGTCACTGTGAGGTTACAAAAGTCAGAACTGCAGTCATTGTGTATTTTTTCCATTTAAAATTAGTCACCCTGCATGTTTAAGGTGGTGACTAATTTTTTGTCTGGGGAGCTTGTGAAGCAAGAATTGCTTCTAGAAGTCAACGCAGGTCCTTCACAACCAATTTCTGAAAGAACTCTCCACAGGGAAGCGATTTTTATTCACAAGCTGTAAAACACGCCGGTGGTCCCTGTCCGTCAGTCCTTCGGCCACAGTTTTGATGAGAATTTCCTGTAGACTGGGATTTCTGCCACTGCTGGTAGACCTGTATGACTGTACATTTCAATACACCTGCAAATTCAGCTACTTCTATCACTCTATGACCTTTGGCACTCCCAAATGCAATCATTCCTTTCTTTCCAATCATGCTTTGTGATCCATTTTCCACACATTGAATGGGACATTCACTGCACTGTACCGCAACTTCTCAATCTATGAATCCCGTCGCACACCCTGCATTTATAGACTGATCATCCTCATGCAGCACCATCTGCAGGAGCCTGAAGTTACTACCACCTCAAACACGCAAGGCGACTAATTTTTTTTCTGAAGAACTTATGTTCTATTTAGAACAATTTCGGGGTTTTGTTTATTCAGGAAATTGAAAAAGAAATTTTATAATTTTTAGTATTGCAAGAAGTGTAGCTTCTCATTTTCATTCTAAATATATAGACATAAAAAAGTCATATATCTAGACACTATA